GAAGGGGAATCCCCTTCCATTAGGACTTGAAGTAGCAAGTCCTTTTCCAGGGTTACTTCCCTTCTTCTTTTAATGCCACTAGGACCAGCTTGAGAGTCACTGGACCTCTGTTGCGCAACAAACCTGTCCATAGAGCTCTGTACCTCCCATTCCTTTACGATTTGTCTAAAATGGGCCACAACATCGTCATTGTAATAGTCACCAGCATGGCTTGCAATAGCTGTGTTAGGGTGGTTTTCATCCATAAAGGTTTGCAGTTCAACCCACTTTGCACACATTTCCTTAATTTTTGAAGTAGGCACAATGGATTCCACAACTGGCATAGGCTCCTCAGGGTTAGCCCCAAACCCTTCAAAATCTTTCTTAATTTCCATACTAATTCTCACCCTTTTTACCACAGGGTTGGCACTAGAAGCTTTCTTGGGGCCCATGGTGACTTATTTTGCAGAAACAAGCACCAAAAACACTGGGATAATATCGAATGTACCAAATGTATCCTTAGATGCGAGCACACTGGCTGGCTTGGAAACACTGGGCCACACGTGGACACGTCTCGGACGAATCGCGTATGGTGGGTTTTTTAACAGGAACCGAGGCAAAATTTTTGCATTAAAATGTATCGAATACCGGATTTATCGGATACCGATGCCATCGCAAACTGGGGGTCCACTGTATTATTCATTCTGGGGTATTTAACATGTTATTTATATTGTTTATTATCTTATATTAGATCAATTATGATAGGCAATAAGCTGTAGTGTTGATATTAGCGTAATAAAAGAGCATATTCTCCTGCATCACGAGACTGAGCTCATGGCAACCGACAGTGGCTTCAAAGCCACCTTATCTTTAATGGACAATGTACTGTGTAGGTGCTTTACACAACGAGAAGCATTTCTTTTATTCATTGGAACCATGCCTAGGGCTAAAAGTAAGCAGGTTATAACAAATGGAGAAAAAGAAATTAGAATGACTTAAGCAGCAAGTAGCACCACCAAACAGTACCAGCAGGTTGGTGTGGCGACCCTGGAAATTTGAAATTATGCTAGCAAAAATTAGTGCAAAATAACTGAAGGAACCGAATAACTGATTGCCGGATTTGTGATGGCAGACCTGTACTAGGATTAGTCTGCCCAAAATGCCTCGGCATGATAGCGGCTATCTTTGTACTTAGCAAATCAAAATTGTAATTACACATTGTAACCTTTACAAAGAAATAAACTTGACTTACTTACTTACATATAGGCCTACCAGTTTTCTCCCGCTTGATTTGAAGCCGCTAGAATTTTGGCATAATAATACAGTGGTCCCTCGTTTATCGTAGTTAATCCGTTCCTGGAGTTGCTACTATTATCGAAATCTACGATTTGCGAATCAATTTTCCCTATAAGAAATAATGTAAATACAATTAATCCATTCCTGACACCCAGAAGTATTAAAACAAAAAAAATTTTTACATGAAATATACATGTAGTACATAAACAATACAATGGGAAATGATGAATGAAACATTAACAGCATAACACTTACCTTTATTGGAGATTCTTAGTGTATGGGAGACTGGAGGAGGAGAGAGATTGGATTGTTTACAGTTTGGAAGGGGAATCCCCTTCCAGCAACACTGCAGGTATCAATTGCTTTTCTGGGGTTGCTTCTCTTCTCTGTTTCTTAATGCCACTAGGACCAGCTTGAGAGTCACTGGAGTCCTGTCTCGCAAAATAACTGTGGAGAGAGCTCTGTTTCTGGTGTCTTTTTAACACTTCCCTAAAATGGCCCAAGACTTTGTCACTGTACATGTTCCCAACATGGCTTGCAACAGCCTTGTCAGGGTGATGTTTCTCCATAAATCTTTCCATCTTACCCCACATAGCAAAAATCTCTTGAATTTCTGAAGAAGGCACCTTCTTCCATCTCTCTTCCTCCTCCTCTGCAGCAAGATTCTGAGCTGCAATCTGTTACTGTTCCTGCTGAAGCTCTTGCAGCTCCTCAGTGGTGAGCTCTTCGTTGTGGTCTTCCACCAACTCTTCCACATCCTCCAAACTCACATCCAACCCCATGGAACTCCCCAGTGCCACAATTGATTTAACAACAAACATAGGCTCATCAGGGTCAGTCCCAAACCCTTCAAAATCCCTCTTGTCGACACAATCTGGCCACAATTTTCTCCAAGCAGAGTTCAAAGTCCTGGTAGTCACTCCCTTCCAAGCCGTACCTATAAGGGTTATGCAATGGAGGATGCTGAAGTGTTCTCTCCAAAATTCTCTTAGGGTCAAGCAAGTGTCTGTGGTCACAGTCAAGCACCTTTGAAACATTGCTTTGGTGTAGAGTTTTTTAAAGTTTGCAATGACCTGCTGGTCCATGGGCTGGAGGAGAGGAGTGGTATTTGGGGGCAAGAACTTTACTGTGATGAACCCAAACTCCTCGAAAATTAGGTCATCCAAGTTTGGAGGGTGAGCAGGTGCATTGTCCATTACTAGGAGGCATTTGAGATCCAATTTCTTTTCCTGGAGGTAATTCTTCACACTAGGGCCAAACACTTCATTGAACCACTCGACGAAAATTTCCCTCGTAACCCATGCCTTACTATTAGATTTCCAAAACACACACAATTTACTCTTCATAACATTGTTTTTCCTGAACACTCTGGGATTTCAGAATGGTACACTAGTAATGGCTTCACTTTGAAATCCCCACTAGCATTAGCACAGAACACGAGCGTCAGCCTGTCTTTCATAGGCTTGTGTCCTGGCATTGCCTTTTCCTCCTGTGTAATGAAGGTCCTCTTTGGCATTTTCTTCCAAAAGAGGCCTGTTTTGTCACAATTGAACACTTGTTCAGGTTTCAGTCCTTCAGCCTCTATGTACTCCTTGAATTCATGCACATAATTTTCAGCCGCTTTGTGGTCCGAACTGGCAGCCTCACCATGCCTACCACACTGTGTATGCCACTACGGCTCTTAAATCTCTCAAACCAACCTTTGCTGGCCTTAAATTCACAAATATCAGTACTCGTTGCAGGCAATTTCTTTACCAGATCGTTGTGCAACTGCCTAGCCTTTTCACAAATAATCGAAGTCATAAGAGTATCTCCTGCTAATTGTTTCTCATTTATCCACACCAATAATAACTTCTCAACATCTTCGAGTACTGGTGATCTCATTTTTGTCAGCATATTTACCCCCTTTGCAGCAACAGCGTCCTTGATTTCCTCTTTCTTGGCCACGATGGAACATATGGTTGTGTAGGGTTTCTTATACATCCTGGCCAGTTCGGCCGCACTTACGCCACTTTCATATTGTTCAATGATGTTTTTCTTAAATTCAATCATATTTCTCACTTTCTTTACCACAGGCTTGGCACTAAGAGCTTTCTTTGGAGCCATGGTAGCTTATTTAGTACTTGCAAGCACTAAAATGAGTGGAATATTATGAAATATTTCATAGGAGCACATGAGGGGACCTTCGCTCACTGGTAAACAATGCCACACTGGCTGGGTAGGGAGGCCGCCCCGGCTCACACCATGGGTACGTGTCCCGGACGACCTACTATTCGCGAGTCAACCTACGATTAGCGAGCCCATGTTTATACGAAAATATCCCTATGATTTTCGAAATCTACGATTCCCGAGAACTACGATTATCGAGGGACCACTGTTCATCGAAAACATTAGCTCGTAAGATGTATATATATACAGCCGAAACAGTCAAAGGGTTAAGATGTACCTTTGCACAAGCCATAAAAGTAGCAATGGGAAAAAATGCCATAAGTTTAAGCCAGTTTTAGAAAGGTTACAATATCCGAAATGCAATTGAAAACAAGTGAATTATGTCTTGCAGCAGCTTTGAGCAACATGAGAGCTGTTTGGTAATTTCTTTTACATCATTGTTCCAATGACTTTGCCAGTTTTGAATCCTATGTTGAAACTGTTTGTGAAAACATTGTGCAGCTTGGGAAAGATCAACTCTGATTAGAAGCATTGGATTATAAAAATGTGCATCAATGTATTGACTTGCATTCCAATGACCTTGATGCTGTAACACTTGTGGAAATTGATCAGAATGTTTATACAATGAAACGGAGGAAAATCAGGAAGAAAATGCCGCACCAACAAAAGAATTCATATTGGATGAACTATCAAAGTTAATTGCAAAAGTAGAAGATGCTTGTGACTTTGTAATGAGTGTGTATCCAACACTAAATGAGGCATTAGAGGTAGGCAGGTGTTACAAAATGATATTTAATGCTAAAAAGATAAAACTGCAAAACTACATTGTTCAACTGTTTTTTGAAATAAAAATGATCTTTTTCATTACTGTATGCATGTTACATTGTTTATTTAGAACTGTAATAAAAATCTTTAGTACTATTTTTTTTTCCAATGCACCGGCCATCTCCCACCAAGACAGGGTGACCCAAAAAAGAAAGAAACACTTTCACCATCATTCACACATAATCAATTTCTTTGCAGAGGTGCCCAGATATGAGAGTGTAGATGTCACTCCAAACAGCCAATATCCCAAACCCCTTCTCTAAAGTGTAGGTATTATACTTCCCACCTCCAGGATTCAAGTCCGGCTAACCTCTTTCCCTGAATCCTTTCACAAAATATTACCCTGTTCACACTCCAACTGCTCGTCAGGTCCCAAAAACCATTCAACTCCATTCACTCCTATCTAGCACGCTCACACATGCCTGCTGGCATGCATGTTCAAGCCCCTTGCATTCAAAACCTCTTTTACTCCCTCCCTTCATCCTTTCCTAGGACAAAAAATGGTGTGTACTAGCACATTAGACACAGTACCAGCACCTGCTTACTAATACATCGGACACAGTACCAGCACCTGCATACTAATACTTCAGACACAGTTAAAGATTTAATAGACCAGAGGCAACATAATTTATTTCATGTTCCTTGATGGGTTCTAGAGACTATTAAAGCTAGCCTAAAGTGAATTGAATGGTGTTTAAAGGGTTTACAAATCATGTGCTTTCTGCCAACAGATTGTAATCTTCTCATACCTTCTGGTGCATGGCTCGTATGATAACACCAGTGACCGTGTCCGCCGGATGTTCCTCATCCAGTTGATGTCTGCTGAAGACATCGCTACACACAAAATTCACCTCTCTGAATGCCAGGGAATGGTGCTCCGTGGACGTTGCTCCTCCAGAGACGCTGACATCAAGAGCCGTCACAAGAAATATGTTAGCCAAGAAAATAGTGTTAAAGGGATGTAGATATATAGTTTTTATGGCTCTTTTTATTATTAGCCAAATTATCTTGCAAATGAGAAGTTAGAAACATTACTTAATCTTTAATAAATTTTTATAATTTTGTCTTCATGTTCATAAGCACTATGTTGAAAGTAGAGAATAATCACCCTCTCTGTATACTTTTATACCTGTATACTCCAGGTATACTCTTTGTGCCTAAATAGTGAGAATTTTCTTTTCTTTGAAATTTGCTGTGATTTATAATCTACAGATTATGGATATGGTTTGGAATGGCCCTATTTACCATACAATTGTTTTGTTTGTGATATTTGTATTATGACAGTACAGTACTGTATATTAGTCTTGAGAGCAGCTGGTTTGTGAGGGTAGTAGTAGACTGTTATGATAGTTAAAAAAATTTAATGATGGCAGTGAATTAATAATGATGTTAACAATTTTTTATGTTAAAAATAACTGAATAACTAAGTGTTTTTAGAATTTATTTCATGAAGTGCTAAACCCATGTGGATCATTCAGCACAAGGCAGGATGGAGGCTCAGTCATCTGTCAGGTGATCTCAGCCTGGTCTCTCACCCAGAGTATTCTTGCACTTTGTAAAGTTTACAACTTGACTCTTATGTTGATAAGTGTTTCTTATGTTCTTTCTTCTGTTACTTTATCATTGGAGGAAGGAGAGGTTGTGTCTTGATGCTAGTGAAGAGCTCTTGATCTGAGGAATTGGGACTGCTCTACCATATTTCAGGTAAACCTGCTTAACCTCCAGTTTCCAAAATGCTGTGTGACCCTTACACTTTCATCACTTTCCCATGAATATAAAGATCTTTCCTCTTCTTTCAACACACTGGTTGTATCCCACCAAGGCAGGGTGACCCAAAAAAAAAAGTTTCTCTTTTTTCAACCCTTTCAGGGTCCAGATGCCAAATCTCATTGTGACAGCCAGGGTCCAAGAATTTAAAAAAAATAAATAAAAATTTTATTACAAAATTAAAGGTAACATTTTCTATAGGTAATAAAACAAAAAACTTTCCGATCAGTACTTTCCAAGATATAGAGGCCTGAAGTTAACCCTCAGTGACGGGGTGGCGGCAACATCGGCGACTTCCGTAAAGTCGCATTTTTTTTATTTTACTTTTTTGTTACTTTTTTTCTTTTCTTTTCTAATCTTGTTTTTTCCACGTAACGTTTGTGGCCTGTGAGACAAGTATAGTGCATAATGTATGTATGTACACTCGTTGTATTCAACACAATAACTGCACTAATATTTTCATCGTTATTTTGTTTACAATAATTGTTTACAAAAAAACATGCAAAAAGTTGTTAATTAGTAATGTTCTATTATATATTTACATATGTACAGTCACTGGACATATGTAAATATATGAACTGCAACAGTCTGTGAAAGTCTTTGAAACAAGGTGTCATGCACAGTGGTGTCATACTCATCTGCAGATCAGTATGATTTTATATTATGCTTATAGACATGAGGCATAAGCATTATTGTTGCAAAAAAACAAATACATTTCAGCCATAGTTGTCTCCTTCCACCAGTGGATGACGATGCGCTTTGTCCTGGAATTGCTGAGTCAGCGGCTTGGGTCCCAGTCTGGGCTGGTGCCACGTGCTGCACGCTTGCATGCTGCATGCTCGTGGCACCACCATCACCTACTGACACATGTGGTCTATCCATCCCAATTGTAGCCACATCATCACTTTCACTGTCTATTCCAGGTGTAGGGCCATGGGATGTACTCAATCCCCTTGGAATTGCATATGGTATAGGGTACTATATGGTACATTGTACCATATGGTACAGATACAGGGACCCCAGTGGAAATAAGTCACTGAGTTTTTTGGGTTATCCAAGGATCTTTAGATATATGCTGCTCTGTATGATAATCTATGTAACTGTTTTTGTGTATACCTGAATAAACTTACTTACCCGAGCGCACGTGGCATTGTAAGTTTATTCAGGTATACACAGATACAGTTACATAGATTATCATACATAGCAGCATGCATGTGGAGAACCCTGGATAACCCAAAAAAGTCAGACAAAGTGACTTATTTCCATTAGGGTCCCTGTACCCTGTACCATATGGTACCATATACCATATGGTACAATGTATCATATGGTATAATGTACTATATGGTACAATGTACCATATGGTAGTATACCATATGGTACCATTGTATGATGTACCACTGTACCATATGGTACCATTGTATCATATGCATTGCAGGTGCCCTAATTTTTTGTTTACTGTGCACACTGACCATGCAGACCCATTCTCTTAGATATAGGCCTACTAGCCTTCTCACACTAAATTTGAAGCCGCTAGAATTTTGGCGTAGATCTATGGCTTGGACCCTGGCTTCAAAGCTGTAGATCTATGGGACAGACCCTGAAAGGTTTAAATTTAGTAATATGTACAGGAGAAGGTGTTACTAGACTCTCACTCAAATATGAAGGTAACAGTAATAATAATCTGTTGTATGTTATCAGTGCCTCTAATGACTGGCCTCTGGTGCTCCTTTTTTACATATTTATACAGCCCCATATTTTCATTTTTCTAAGTAGCACATTATTTGAAGAATAAAAGACCTTACCATGGCTGGAACAGTTCACAATTAACACAGTTTTGAGCTGATACTTCAGATGTTTCAGTCCACCCTGTTCCATTATGATGCCGTGAGTGTGAGACAAAGTGGAGACATGTTAAGTAAAAGGACACAAGTGCAACTAATGTGACATTTTATTGTGGCTCTCCAGGAGCTTTGTCAAGCCGTTACAAACAATACATGGACACAGAGGGTGTATATAGGCTTTGAGTGAGGTGTAGTACTAGTGGAGGTAGTAGCAGTAGTTATACACATGATGGAAAAGTCAGCTGGTACATGAGAAAAAAGGTTACAAAAGCTATGGCTTGGGTAGCATAAAAATAGGTTGGGCAAATGTATATGGTTGGATTTGAGAAGGCGTACAACACCGGAATTTTGCCAGTCATCTCATGAAATTCAGGGATGCCCAACTAGTGATGCAAGAACCTAATTTATGCAGATATAAACGACTTGAATCATCATTAATCGCTGTTTCTAACACAAACAAAACAAAGGCAGCTTCACCATCTCTGAAGTCTTAGCGAGAATCCTCCTGAAAATAGTAAACCCTACCATCACATAATTGCAACTACGTAAAAGGACATGCCCAGTTTGGGCCAACAGGCCTCCTGCAGTGTTCCTTCTTTCTTAAGTTTTTATGTAATAGAGGAGGGACACTAAACAGGCCTTCTCAAATCCAACCATATACATTTGCCCAACCTATTTTTGTGCTACCCAAGCCATAGCTTTGGTAACATTTTTTCTCATGTACCAGCTGACTTTTCTACCACATGTATAACTACTACTACTACTACTACTACCTCTACTAGTACTACATCTCACTCAAAGCCTATATATACCCTGCATCCATGTATTGTTTGTAATGGCTTGACAAAGCTCCTGGAGAGCAAAACGTTGCCACAATAAAATGTCACATTAGTTGCACTTTTGTCCTTTTACTTAACATATTGTAGTTAATTCTACCAATATTTATACAAAGTGGAGACAGCTAGAAGTCAGGTTGGATGAAGACTACTGGCTTTCTTTACTCTGTATCACTGATGACATGGGTTGCCTTGATCCTGGAGAAGGGTTTTTGATTTATGGAATTGGAGCTATACTCTCCATCCTTGGATCAAACCTGATCACCACCCATTCCCAGTTGCTGCATGAACCCTTCATGAATATAATAATAATTTACATATTATCAAATGACACTAATAACTAGCCATTGTTGTTCCATTTTTAAATGAAATATAATGCCACATATGATTATTTCAAGTAGCACATTATTTGAAGAATAAAAGTCACAGTATTGTGGCTGGAACAAGTCACTAGTCAACAACTTAGGGATGAAACTTTGGATGACACTTTAGTCCATGCTGACTAGATGATCATGTGAGAGATATATTAACCCGTAAACAGTCCAAACGTATATATATACATTCTTACCACTAGTGCCCCAAACGTATATATGTATACGTTTTATTTTTCCTGCCTCCAAATTTGGCATGATTGGCCTGAGATGCCTGGTCAGCATAGAATGGGTCTTAACACTCGATGTGCACCATATTAAAAAAAATCTGGGACCACTTAGTACCCTGTAGGAACGCCAGTTAAAATGAGTGCCAGCTAGAGCAAACAGTGTGGCAAACACTGCAAGGGTGCTAGGTGCCCACAGAGGGTAAGAGCAAGAACACCGAGGGGGGGAAAACAGATAAATAAATAAATAAAGAAGGAACAAATACACAGGGCAGAAGAAAGACACCCCAAAGGAGAAAGAGGAAAGAGGAAGAGGGAGAAGAATAAAAGGAGGAATCAGGTTAGGTCACGAGTGCTCCAAACTTCAGAACACTCATGACCTAACCTGATTCCTCCTTTTTTTCTTCTTCTCCCTCTTCCCCTTTCCTCTTTCTCCTTTGGGTTGTCTTTCTTATGCCCTGTGTATTTGTTTCTTCTTTATTTATTTATTTATTTGTTTTCCCCCCTTGGTGTTCTTGCTCTTACCCTCTGTGGGCACCTAGCACCCTTGCAGTGCTCCTCTTTCTTAGTATTTGACTGGCCCCTCCTACCCTCACTACCTCCCCACTACTACTTCCTTCCCTCCACCACCACTACTACTACTACTACCACCTCCTGTCTATATTTACCCATCCTGCTCTCCTTTTCGTTAGTGTGACTTTGTAAATGGTCAAGTCAGACTGAAGTGTCGTCGTAAGCTCCTCTCTTCCATGTGCGAGTTATTTGTGTATCATTCCAGTCACGGTATTGTGCCTTTTTTGTTATTTAGGCTGGACTAATATATGAGTAAGAAGGGTTGGGTTTGACAAGGCTCTGCATAGCATGGCCAGTAGTCCTGCTGTAGGATTCAATTCTTATGCTTTAAAGTTTTAACTCCAAATTGTACACTAGATGCAAACTGCACTTTACTATATATGTTTACTGTTGTTGATAACATATATCTTTTGCAAATTTTTATATATACAGAACTGTTTTATCATATTATTGGGACAAGTTCTAAAGTTGTTGGGGTCATACAGCACCTGAAAAATGAAGACAATGCTCATTTAGTTCCCCTCCCCCCCTCAGTGGAGGTTCCTTTATGCCTATGAGGCATTCTTGATCCAAGAAATTAAAGCTTGCTTACTCTTCTTGGATTGATCCTGATTGTCTCCCATTTTCTCAGGTGCTGTAAAACCCATTCTGGCTTTGTATTTCCCCCACTCATGTAATAATGTGCAGTTAATTACAATTATTTCTTGGGTAGCTTTAGGTAGAGGTCGTTTTGATAAGGGCCTGCCTCGCATGGGCCAGTGGGCCTTCTACAGTGTTCCTCCATTCTTATGTTCTTATTAGGTAATAAGACTAGCTTACATGTCAGCAGCTGCATCACTGTACAAAAGCCTCTGGTTATTGTATCCAGTTCAGCAGTGATGTTGGTGAGTATGAAGACAAAAATACAAATTGCAACACAAACTATTATTGGGACCACAACTTGTGGCTGAATGATGGTGTTAGCTGCAACACAAGCTTTTATCAGGATCACAACCTGTGGCAGAATGATGGTATTAGCTGACAAGTAATCAGAAAGACATTTATGTTTGTAGTGAAACCTTCATTCTGACATTTCCTCTGCAACCAAGCTTTATCAAGTAAATCTGATAAAGTCCAGTCCCAGAAGAATGTCATTATGGCTTCACTGTAAACATCAGTGTCTTTCTGACTACTACAACCTGTATCTTTGTTTTTGTCCTTTTTAGCAATATGCCATTCCATCTAGTGTACAGAATATAAACAGCAAAAGCAGTGCATAAAATACAGTGGATCCCCGGTTATCGGCCGGTTTGGTTATCGGCCAATTCGATTATCAGCTGGTTTTTCAGCTCCTGGTTATCGGTCGTTTGCTCGGTTATCGGCCATTTGGGACACGTCCATCTGCCGGCTGGGGCTGCTTGCACATCAGTTTGGCTTTGTCTCTCGGTGGCTAAGGAAGCTTCTGCTTATGCTACATCCAAACATTTTGCTTATTTCCCATTGTAGCTTGTGTTATTTTTGCAGTGCAACTGTGAAATAAGGAACCATGGCTCCAAAGAAAGTTCCTGTGGCAAAGAAAGTGAGAAACACCATGGAATTTAAGCGTGAAGTGATACAAAAGTTTGAAAGTGGTATGAAGGTGGTGGAACTTGCCAGGATGTACAGCAAGAATAAATCAACAATTACACCCATCATGGCAAAGAAAGAACAAATCAAAGATTCTAATGTTGCAAAAGGAGTAACTTGTCTAACTAAACAAAGGCCACCAATAATGGAAGAGTTGGAAAAGTTATTATTATTGTAGATTAAGGAAAAAGAATTAGTGGGAGACAGTGTTATGGAGTCTATTATTTGTGAGAAGGCAAGGCAGTTGCATGAGGATCTTGCAAAGAAAATGCCTGGAACAAGTGCTGCAGTTCTTGAATTTAGGGCCAGCAAAGGATGGTTTGATAGATTTAAAAAGCGTATTGGCATACACAGTGTTGTAAGGCATGGTGAGGCTGCAAGTTCTGACAAATATGTGGCTGAAAAGTATGTTCATGAATTCCAGGACTATGTAAAGGCTGAAGGATTCAAAACCCAACAAGTGTTCAGTTGTGACGAAACAGGCCTGTTTTGGAAGAATATGCCAAACAGGACCTACATTACCCAAGAGGAAAAGGCACTGCCAAGACACAAGCCTATGAAAGACAGGCTTACTCTTTCATTGTGTGGTAATGCTAGTGGGGATTTCAAAGTGAAGCCTTTACTCATGTATCACTCAGAAAATCCCAGTGTTCAAGAAAAACAGTGTCATGAAGAATAGATTGTGTTTGATGTGGAAAGTTAATCATAAGGCATGGGTCACAAGGCAAATTTTCAAAGAGTAGGTTAAAGATGTGTTTGACCCAAGTGTGAAAAAATACCTCCTGGAAAAGAAATTACCATTCAAGTGCCTCCTGTTACTAGACAATGCTCCTGCACATCCTCCAGACTTGCAAGACCAAGTGTTTAGGGACTTCAGTTTCATCACAGTGAAGTTCTTGCCTCCTAACACCACTCCTCTCCTCCCGCCCACGGACCAGCATGTCATTTCTAACTTCAAAAAACTCTACACAAAAGCAGTGTTTCAAAAGTGCTTTGAAGTGACATCAGACACTCAGTTGACCCTAAGACAGTTCTGGAGGAATCACTTCACTATCCTCCACTGCATAAGCCTTATAGGTAAGGCTTGGGAGGGAGTGACTTCCAGGACTTTGAACTCTGCTTGGAGAAAACTATGGCCAGATTGTTTCCAAAAAAGGGATTTTGAAGGGTTTGAGGCTGACCCTGACACTGCCAACCCTGTGGACTCTATTGTGGCACTGGGGAAGTCTCTGGGGTTGGAGGTGAGTGGCAGGGATGTGGAAGAGTTGGTGGAGGACCACAGGGAAGAGCTAACCACTGAAGAGCTGCAAGAGCTTCATCTCAAACAGCAACAGACTGCAGCTGAGGAACTCGCTTCAGAGGAGGAGGAAGAGGGAGTGAAGGAGGTGCCTTCTTCAGAGATTAAAGAGGTATGTGCATGTGCACTAGGGTACAAGCTTTTGTAGAGAAACACCACTCTGACAAAGCTGAAACAAGCCTTATTTGCAACATGTTTAGTGACAAAACCCTGCCACACTTCAGGGAAATCTTAGAGTCACCAGAAACAGATTACTTTGGACAGTTATTTTGTGAGACAGGGGTCCAGTGACTCTCAAGCTGGTCCTAGTGGTATTAAAAGACAGAGAAGGGAAGTAACCCCAGAGAAGGCTTTGCTACCTAAAGTCTTTATGGAGGGGGATTCCCCTTCCAAACACTAACTCCTTCCTCTTTCCTCCTCCCTATCTTCCAGAAGCCAGCATTAGCCTTCAATAAACGTATGTAATACTTACATAATTGTTACAAAAATTATTCTTTTGTGAATATTTTTCTTTGAAACGGATTAATTGTATTTCCATTAACTCTTATGGGAAATGTTAATTCGGTTTTCGGCCCTTTCGGTTATCAGCCGACCTTCTGGAATGGATTATGGCCGATAACCGGGGGTCCACTGTATATAGATTATGGTTTTGCTAAGACAGAGTATACACAACGTTTATACAAGTAGTTGGTATATTGGACAGGATGACAATGAAGTTTTATTGTTATATTTTAGTTTTATTTGATGTATTGACACTTTGTTGACTTTATTGAACTTAATAATTGTTTCAGGTCATGATATGTCTATTTAGTCTGAAATATTATCTAAATAAAGGATTTTGCATACTTGGTTTAGCCTGCATACCTGTTAGTATTACACACTCCAACTAAGTGTTGTGTGGAATGATCAATCATGTAGGAGGATTCAGGGCAGGCAGTGGCAGCATGAAGGAGACAGACTGGTAATCTCCCATGGCTTCCCTAGGATAGCATGTGACCTATTGTTATCTTGATAAACTGTGACTAATTAGGTCTATAACCCAGACCTGTATTATTCATTGTGTTTAATGGAAACCCTCAAATGGATCAAAATGGAAATTGGTAACTGGAACTTAACAATTACCTCTTAATTAAATTACGGTATAGTATTGGCTATAGAATTTATATTCTTTGGATGGAGCTTTGTTGTCTCCCATTCCCAGACACTATATGACCTTAAAGTGTTTTCTGGCTTTTATGTTAGTAACAGCATACAATGTACGAAATGTAAATATTTTTTATAGACATATCTTGGAGGTTTACAATTATGAGAGTGCCTAGGAACTACAGGGACTTTAATTCAGCCTTGTTTTAGCATGACTAAATTCCCAGGAGGGATGGGAGATAGGGCTGAAAGGTCAAATCAGTAGGAGATAACTTCAGCCTGACCACTTTCAGGCAAATTGTGAATGTACTTAATATTTGTTAAAAATGCTTAATGGCCTCAGATTACAGGAACTGAGATATTAAATTTGAATTTAATTCTTTTTTTAGTAGTGGGTGATATATTTGGCTTCTTCAAAGTCCCGTGACAGCAGCTGCCCATTGTGTGACCTCAGAGGTTACAACCCTATTAGTTATGTTGATTATTATCTCTACAGGCAGGTGCCTTAATGCTGAAGTGTTCATGATTCAAGGGATATTATTATTATTATAATCAAAAAGAAGTGCTAAGCTACAAGGACTATACAGGATTCAAGGGATAGAAACTATAGTTTCCTTATATAAACCTTGATTAACTCCTATGTCTGGATTTAGTGCTTCTTCATGAATATAATACAGTCAGCTGCTACTTAATGACATAGATGCTAAATATATCTGCATTACTGTACATGATGTACATATAGGACATTAAACGTGAACACTAACATTGCTGTATAGCCCTTGTGGCTTAGCGCTTCTTTTTTATTATAATAATAATAATTGAACATTAACACCCTCCAGCTGGAGGGACCTCAGCAAGACATCTGTGCAGGATAGAAGAGGGAAGATAAGCGATACCCCCCACCTGGGGGGCCAACACCAGGTCACCATCTGGAAAAGACCTGGTCCGGGACAGTACCGCAAATCAATCAAGTTGAACATTAACCCAGAGATCCAGCTCTTGGAGAGTTTAGTTAGTTTAATATCTTTATTATGCACCCCATACCCATCCTGTGGGCAGTTGTCAATAGATTACAGAGGTACATAATAGGTCCAGGTACTTGGAGAGTGGCTGGACAATACAAGAAATATGTATCTCTGAAATACAGTATGTATTTGACTCTGCCTATTTAAATACTCCTTGCACATTAAAAGGCCAAAACTATGGAATACAATACCAAAAATTGCAACAACTTCCTTCCTTCCTTTACTCACTCTCACACCGAATGAGACTGTACCACTAACCACAGGTGACCAAATATTTCATCAAGAAGCAGATTTATCAACCAAGGAAGAGACAAACCAGACCAAGCAGAGAACAGAAGTGACTAGTAATGTCTGGAGCCACTCAAGGCATGGGAAACAAGAAGCCGTAGCTTACTGGGTAAGAGAAAATGCTGAGGTAACCCAACCAAGGAACTACTGAGGCACACATAGCAATACATGTGTGATATATACAGACCAGGGGAGAGCAATAATATACATAAGCCATGAAAGAAGATAGTAACAAGAAGAAGATCTTGGCATGAGGGGTATGGACATGGCGATGATCCGGGGTGCCAGCAAATGGGAGGGAAGATGGGGGCCAACCCAGACTCCAAAGTATACCTCAGGTATATTCAGGGATAGCCCTATAAAGAATGATCCTTCCTATAAGGATGTACACAGAGTATGGGCATCTGGAACCAAGCAGTAAGTAGGTAGTCAGTATGGGGAGCAGGAAACCCTGCTCCATCACATACCCTCATCAGGCACAACCAACTGGGAATGAAAAAATCCTTTACCCAAACAGGTGATGTGGTCTGCCATGAAGAAAGGACAATCTGGTATCTACGTTAGCATGGATATGAGGTGCCCTTTAGCCAAATTATTAAAAAGTCTATCTCCCATTCCTTTTCAGTTATCTTCCCCCCCCCCTTGCAATACTCATCATATAATGACCCCCTTTGCCACACAAAGGTCTCCCCAATGAAAGAGACTTCATCATATCAGTGCATTTGAGTGATTTTCACTATATTTAAATCCAAACTTACAAGCTTAAGTTAATAAGGAAAACAAATTTAATTTAGCCCCATAAAAACAACATATTTAGCAGTATTTATATATTTTATTGTACAACTGTACATACTGCTCTTTACACATTAATGGCATTCATTTAAAGTGAATTACAAATATTCATTAAGGTATATGGGTTACAACTACTAAGCCCAGCCAACTCCCTTCGTCCAGTATCTGAAGACGCACCTGGGTTCTGCAGCCAATTCCGGTCAACATAATAATCCACAATGCTCTGCATCTCCAACTCATTGTAGTTTGACACCAGAATAGGTATAAAAGGGTCTAATGTCTCCCATCCCTGAAAAAAAAAAAATATTTAGTGAACTTTCACATATGAAAAAAAAAATATGTTAAATTTGATGCTACTGTGCTGGTCAACACACCACACTGTCAGATGTCAGTGCTGTTTTTTTTTTTATTTCAAATTTGTTTACCTATGGTTAAATACAGCAAAAATGCAATAAATGCACATGCAGGGAGTGCAGCTTCAATAAACAATAAATGAAATATTGTACTAAAGTCCAAGATTACCGGTCAAGAGCACTGTAAAATTTAAAAAAAAAAGTTTGTGGGAAGTGTACTAAGGCTAATAACCCAGAATTACACTACAAACTAACCAACTTTATTTCTTTGTACAGTGTACAAAATATAGTTCACATGTAATAAAATATTGTTAAGCACAAAAGAAAGCCTCTTACATGCTGTGCATTTTGGGTAGACTAATACTAATGTTTACAGACTACTTAAGATTAGACATAAGTTATTGAGTGGTAAATTTTAAGTATGCATATTACCAAAAAAGTACAATTTAAGTACATTAGGGTCCCACTTACATGGCAGGTCAGGTTCCAGGCTACCGCCGTAAAGTGGAAAACCCTTTTTTCCCCTTAAAAATGCATACAAATGCTAGATAACAAGTTTACACCAACATATACAGTGGACCCTCGCATAACGCTATTAATCCGTTCCTGAGAGCTCAATGTTATGCAAAATTATCATTATGCGAATTAATTTTCCCCATAAGAAATAATGGAAATCAAATTAATCCGTTCCTGACACCCAAAAGTATGAACAAAAATTTTTTTTACCACATGAAGACATGCAGAGTTACATGACACTTACCTTTATTGAAGATCTGGTGATGACTGATGGGATGGGAGGAGGGGAGAGTGTTGATGGTCTTAGTGTTTAGAAGGGGAATCCCCTTCCATTAGGCCTTGAGGTAGCAAGTCCTTTTCTGGGGTTACTGTACTTCCCTTCTTCTTTTAATGCCACTAGGACCAGCTTCAGAGTCACTGGGCTTCTGTCGCACAACATATCTGTCCATAGAGGTCTGTACCTCTCGTTCCTTTATGACTTTCCTAAAGTGGTTCACAACATTGTCAGTGTACAGGTTGCCAACACGGCTTGCAACAGCTGTCTGAGGGTGATTTTCATCCATAAAGGTTTGCACTTTAAGCCACATTGCACAGATTTCCTTAATCTTTGAAGTAGGCAACTTCTTCAATTTCTCTCTCCCCCTCCTCCGAAGCAATTTCCTCAGGTGTGGCCTCATGCTGTTGAAGATGATCTATCAGCTCATCAGTGGTTAGTTCTTCATTGTCCTCCTCCACCAACTCTTCCACATCCTCCCCACTAACCTCCAACCCCAAGGACTTCCCCAATGCCACAACTGATTCCTCAACTGGCATACGCCTCTCAGGGATAGCCTCAAATCCTTCAAAATCCCTTTGGTCTACACATTCTGGCCACAGTTTCTTCCAAGCAGAGTTCAAGGTCCTCTTAGTCACTCCCTCCCAAGCCTTACCTATAAGGTTTACACAATTAAGGATATTAAAGTGCTCTCTCCAAAACTCTCTTAGAGTCAATTGAGTTTCTGAGGTCACTACAAAGCACCTTTCAAACAGAGCTTTTGTGTACAGTTTTTTGAAGTTTGCAATAACCTGCTGGTCCATGGGCTGCAGGAGAGGAGTGGTATTAGGAGGCAAAAACTTGACCTTAATGAAGCTCATGTCCCCACAAAGTCGCTCTGCAAGTCTGTAGGATGACCAGGGGCATTGTCTAACACCAGGAGGCACTTAAGGTCTAATTTCTTTTCAGTTAGGTAATTTTTCACATTGGGGGCAAATGCATGGTGTAACCAGTCATAGAAAAAGTCCCTAGTGACCCATGCCTTACTGTTTGCCCTCCACAGCACACACAAATTAGCCTTGAGGATATTCTTTTGCCTGAACGCTCTGGGAGTTTCAGAGTGATACACTAATAAAGGCTTCACTTTGTAATCACCACTAGCATTGGCACACATGAGAAGAGTAAGCCTGTCTTTCATAGGCTTATGTCCTGGGAGTGCCTTTTCCTCCTGAGTAATGTAGGTCCTGCTTGGCATTTTCTTCCAAAACAGGCCTGTTTCGTCACAATTAAACACTTGTTCAGGTTTCAGTCCTTCACTGTCTATGTACTCCTTGAATTCCTGCACATATTTTTCAGCTGCTTTGTGGTCCGAACTGGCAGCCTCACCATGCCTTATCACACTATGTATGCCACTACGCTTCTTAAATCTCTCAAACCAACCTTTGCTGGCCTTAAATTTACTCACATCATCACTAGTTGCAGGCATTTTTCTAATTAAATCCTGATGCAACTTCCTAGCCTTTTCACTAATGATCGCTTGAGAGATGCTATCTCCTGCTATCTGTTTTTCGTTTATCTACACCAATAAGAGTCTCTCAACATCATCTATCACTTGCGATCTCTGTTTTGAAAACACAGTTGCGCCTTTGGCAAGAACAGCTTCCTTGATTGCCGTTTTCTTGGACACGATAGTAGCGATGGTTGATTGGGGTTTACTATACAACCTGGCCAGCTCGGAGACACGTACTCCATTTTCATACTTAGCAATGATCTCTTTCTTCATCTCTATAGTAATTCTCACCCTTATTCCTGTAGAGTTGGCACTAGAAGCTTTCTTGGGGCCCATGGTCACTTATTTTGCAGATGAAATCACCAAAAACGCTGTAATAATACGAAATGTTCCGATTGTATGCTTGGATTGTAGGCTGGCTGATAAACAATGCCACCGGCGGAACATGTGAGGCTGACTCAGGCCGCACATTAGACGCGTCTCAGACGAATAGCATTGAGCGAGTTTTTTAGAGGTATGCAAGGCAAAATTTTAACGATAAAATGTATCGGTATGCGGATTTAACGTTATGTGATGCCAATGGTATGCGAGGGCCCACTGTATTAAGTTAGCAATAGAACTAGTCATTAAAAAACAATAAAAAAGTAAAATACACACATAGTGCACTCATTACTTATCTTAAAATATTTGTAGTCTTAATCTAGGGTGAGTTGAGTATTATTTATTGTAAGAAATCAAGTGCGGTATGTATGGTAGCCAGCCAGACCGCCCCACCCACACATACTATTCTATGATATTTAAGCATCCCAAAGTGATAAAATGCATATACAGTTCACTCATTACTTATATGGGAATAAGTTTACTGAGTATACCAGGTAAAGGGTATGGTAGGGTTATTACTGAAAGAATTAGAGGAATGACAGATAGCAGGACTGCAGAAGAACACAGAGGCTTTAGAATGGGTAGGGGATGTGTAGATCAAGTGTTTACATTGAAGCATATATGTTAACAGTATTCAGATAAAGATAGAGAAGTTTTCATTGCATTTATGGATTTAGAAAAGGCATATGATAGAGGGGACAGGGGAGCAATGTAGCAGATGTTACAAGTGTATGGAACAGGTAGTAAGTTACTAAATGCTCTAAAGAGTTTTTATGGGGAGGCTCAGGTTAGGGTGTATAGGAGGGAGATTACTTCCCAGTAAAAGTAGGTCTTAGACAGAGATGTGTAATATCACCATGGTTGTTTAACATATTTATAGATATGGCTGTAAAAGAAGTAAATGCTAGGGTGTTGGGGAGAGGGGTGGGATTAAATTATAGGGAATCAGATAGAAAGTGGGAGTTGACACAGTTACTTTTTGCTGATGATACTGTGCTTTTGGGAGATTCTAAAGAAAAGTTGCATAGGTTAGCAGATGACTTTGGGAAAGTGTGTAAAGGTAAAAAGTTAAAAGTGAACATAGATAAGAGTAAGGTGATGAAGGTATCAAACAATTTAAAGAAAAACTGGATATCACATTGGTGGGAGGGAGTATGGAAGAAGTGAATGTGTTCAGATATTTGGGAGTTGCCTTGTCAGTCGATGGATTTATGAAGGATGAGGTTAGCCACAGAACTGATGAAGAAAAAAAGGTGAGCGGTGCATTGAAGTATCTGTGCGGACAAAAAACATTATCCATGGAGGCAAAGAAGGGAATGTACGAGAGTATAGTGGTACCAACGCTCTTATATAGGTGTGAAGCATGGGTTGTAAATGCTGCAGCAAGGAGGAGGCTGGAGGCAGTGGAGATATCATTCTAAGGGCAATGTGTGGTGTAAATATTATGCAGAGAATTTGTAGTGTGGAAATTAGAAAGTGTGGAGTTACTAAAAGTATTAGTCAGAGGGCTGAAGAGGGGCTGTTGAGGTGGCTTAGGCATTTAGAGAGTATGGAACGAAGTAGAACAACTTGGAGAGTGTATAAATCTGTTGGGAAAGGAAGGCAGGGTGGGGGTCATCCTAGGAAAGGTTGGAGGGAGGGGTAAAGGAGGCTTTGTGGGCGAGGGGCTTGGACTTCCAGCAAGCGTGCGTGTGAGTTTTAGATACTGGTTAGCCGGACTTGAGTCCTGGAAGTGGAAGTACAATGCCTGCACTTTAAAGGAGGGGTTCAGGATACTGGCTGTTTGGAGGGACATCTAAATTATCGTATCTGAGCACCTCTGCAAAGACAGTGCTTATGTATGAGTGATGGTGAAAGTGTTGAATAATGATAAAAGTTTTACTTTCTTTCTTTTTCAGTCACCCTGCCTTGGTGAGAAATGGCCGACATGTTAAGAAAATGTATATGTATTTTAAAGGTAGGTTACTGAAAGCAGTGAAGAGTTTTTACGAGGATAGTGAGGCTCAAGTTAGAGTATGTAGGAAAGAGGGAAATTTTTTCCCAGTAAAAGTAGGCCTTAGACAAGGATGTGTGATGTCACCGTGGTTGTTTAATATATTTATAGATGGGGTTGTAAGAGAAGTAAATGCGAGGGTCTTGGCAAGAGGCGTGGAGTTAAAAGATAAAGAATCACACACAAAGTGGGAGTTGTCACAGCTGCTCTTTGCTGATGACACTGTGCTCTTGGGAGATTCTGAAGAGAAGCTGCAGAGATTGGTGGATGAATTTGGTAGGGTGTGCAAAAGAAGAAAATTAAAGGTGAATACAGGAAAGAGTAAGGTTATGAGGATAACAAAAAGATTAGGTGATGAAAGATTGAATATCAGATTGGAGGGAGAGAGTATGGAGGAGGTGAACGTATTCAGATATTTGGGAGTGGACGTGTCAGCGGATGGGTCTATGAAAGATGAGGTGAATCATAGAATTGATGAGGGAAAAAGAGTGAGTGGTGCACTTAGGAGTCTGTGGAGACAAAGAACTTTGTCCTTGGAGGCAAAGAGGGGAATGTATGAGAGTATAGTTTTACCAACGCTCTTATATGGGTGTGAAGCGTGGGTGATGAATGTTGCAGCGAGGAGAAGGCTGGAGGCAGTGGAGATGTCATGTCTGAGGGCAATGTGTGGTGTGAATATAATGCAGAGAATTCGTAGTTTGGAAGTTAGGAGGAGGTGCGGGATTACCAAAACTGTTGTCCAGAGGGCTGAGGAAGGGTTGTTGAGGTGGTTCGGACATGTAGAGAGAATGGAGCGAAACAGAATGACTTCAAGAGTGTATCAGTCTGTAGTGGAAGGAAGGCGGGGGTAGGGGTCGGCTAGGAAGGGTTGGAGGGAGGGGTAAAGGAGGTTTTGTGTGCGAGGGGCTTGGACTTCCAGCGGGCATGCGTGAGCTGTTTGATAGGAGTGAATGGAGACAAATGGTTTTTAATTACTTGACGTGCTGTTGGAGTGTGAGCAAAGTAACATTTATGAAGGGATTCAGGGAAACCGGCAGGCCGGACTTGAGTCCTGGAGATGGGAAGTACAGTGCCTGCACTCTGAAGGAGGGGTGTTAATGTTGCAGTTTAACTGTAGTGTAAAGCACCCTTCTGGCAAGACAGTGATGGAGTGAATGATGGTGAAAGTTTTTCTTTTTCGGGCCACCCTGCCTTGGTGGGAATCGGCCAGTGTGATAATAAAAAAAAAAAAAATAATAATAAAAAATAACAGTAAGCTTACAATTTCATTTTCCTAAAAATTCCTGCTTATTCCACAAAATGTTTGCAAAGTTCGGTTATTGCAAAAGACTTTCACAGTGTTAATTTTAACATTTATGCTTTATTTTCAATCACTATGGTATTTAAGAATAGCATCTTATGTCCTTTAAAGGAGGAATTGTGAATTGTGGAATTTTAAACACCCATTATCCTCCTCCTCCTCTTTGAGTTCACTGAATTTTGTTTAAAACACTCTTCCATCTTCCTCTTGTGGAGAAGCTGGAGGATTGTGAGGGGCCTCACAAGTGGAGTAGCCTAGGGCATCTCATCTAAATCTGGCACTGCTGTGAACTGTCTATCCTGGTGCTATGTGACTAACCTCTCTATACCTGGTGTTACATGACTGTAACCTCTCTATACCTAGTGTTATATGACTGTAACCTCTCTATACGTAGTGTTGTATGACTGTAAACTCTTTATACCTAGTGTTATATGACTGTCAAGTCTCAAAAACTGGTGTTACATGACTGTAACCTCTATCTATATTTGGTGTTATGTGACACTAACCCTTTTGCTGACTGTGCCAAAGTACTACAGCTTTGAGGTAACAGCAAAACAGAAACCTAACAACACTCACAGAATGAGAGCAGACCTGACCTTCTGTCTCAGCAGATAACGTGGCAAGTATGACTCTCGTCGCGCCCCATCATTGGCTAAGCTGTCTACTGATGCAACTACAACTCCATTTCTCTGTTGAGGGGAAAAATTTTTATTAAAATAAATTTTATTAATACATGATCATTCAACAGTTAGGGTAAGATATAAACAGCTATTGGAGGATAGATGGGCTAATGAGAGCATAGGCAATGGGGTCGAAGAGGTATGGGGTAGGTTTAAAAATGTAGTGTTAGAGTGTTCAGCAGAAGTTTGTGGTTACAGGAAAGTGGGTGCAGGAGGGAAGAGGAGCGATTGGTGGAATGATGATGTAAAGAGAGTAGTAAGGGAGAAAAAGTTAGCATATGAGAAGTTTTTACAAAGTAGAAGTGATGCAAGGAGGGAAGAGTATATGGAGAAAAAGAGAGAAGTTAAGAGAGTGGTGAAGCAATGTAAAAAGAGAGCAAATGAGAGAGTGGGTGAGATGTTATCAACAAATCTTGTTGAAAATAAGAAAAAGTTTTGGAGTGAGATTAACAAGTTAAGAAAGCCTAGAGAACAAATGGATTTGTCAGTTAAAAATAGGAGAGGAGAGTTATTAAATGGAGAGTTAGAGGTATTGGGAAGATGGAAGGAATATTTGAGGAATTGTTAAATGTTGATGAAGATAGGGAAGCTGTGATTTCGTGTATAGGGCAAGGAGGAATAACATCTTGTAGGAGTGAGGAAGAGCCAGTTGTGAGTGTGGGGGAAGTTCGTGAGGCAGTAGGTAAATGAAAGGGGGTAAGGCAGCCGGGATTGATGGGATAAAGATAGAAATGTTAAAAGCAGTGGGGATATAGTTTTGGAGTGGTTGGTGCAATTATTTAATAAATGTATGGAAGAGGGTAAGGTACCTAGGGATTGGCAGAGAGCATGCATAGTTCCTTTGTAAAAGCAAAGGGGATAAAGAGAGTGCAAAAATTATAGGGGGATAAGTCTGTTGAGTGTACCTGGTAAAGTGTATGTAGAGTTATAATTGAAAGAATTAAGAGTAAGACGGAGAATAGGATAGCAGATGAACAAGGAGGCTTTAGGAAAGGTAGGGGGTGTGTGGACCAGGTGTTTACAGTGAAACATATAAGTGAACAGTATTAGATAAGGCTAAAGAGGTCTTGTGGCATTTATGGATTTGGAAAAGGCGTATGACAGGGTGGATAGGGGGGCAATGTGGCAGATGTTGCAAGTGTATGGTGTAGGAGGTAGGTTACTGAAAGCAGTGAAGAGTTTTTACGAGGATAGTGAGGCTCAATTTTAGAGTATGTAGGAAAGAGGGAAATTTTTTCCCAGTAAAAGTAGGCCTTAGACAAGGATGTGTGATGTCACCGTGGTTTTTTTAATATATTTATAGATGGGGTTGTAAGAGAAGGTAAATGCGAGGGTTTTGGCAAGAGGCGTGGAGTTAAAAGATAAAGAATCACACACAAAGTGGGAGTTGTCACAGCTGCTCTTTGCTGATGACACTGTGCTCTTGGGAGATTCTGAAGAGAAGTTGCAGAGATTGGTGGATGAATTTGGTAGGGTGTGCAAAAGAAGAAAATTAAAGGTGAATACAGGAAAGAGTAAGGTTATGAGGATAACAAAAAGATTAGGTGATGAAAGATTGAATATCAGTTTGGGGGGGAGAGAGTATGGAGGAGGTGAACGTATTCAGATATTTGGGAGTGGACGTGTCAGGGGAAAGGGGTCTATGAAAGATGAGGTGAATCATGAATTGATGAGGAAAAAGAGTGAGTGGTGCACTTAGGAGTCTGTGGAAACAAAGAACTTTGTCCTTGGAGGCAAAGGGGGGAATGATGAGAGTATAGTTTTACCAACGCTCTTATATGGGTGTGAAGCGTGGGTGATGAATGTTGCAGCGAGGGGGAAGGCTGGAGGCAGTGGAGATGTCATGTCTGAGGGCAATGTGTGGTGTGAATATAAATGCAGAGAATTCGTAGTTTGGAAGTTAGGAGGAGGTGCGGGATTACCAAAATGTTGTCCAGAGGGCTGAGGAAGGGTTGTTGAGGTGGTTCGGACATGTAGAGGAATGGAGCGAAACAGAATGACTTAAAGAGTGTATCAGTCTGTAGTGGAAGGAAGGCGGGGTAGGGGTCGGCCTAGGAAGGGTTGGAGGGAGGGGGTTTAAAGGAGGTTTTGTGTGCGAGGGGCTTGGACTTCCAGCAGGCATGCGTGAGCGTGTTTGATAGGAGTGAATGGAGACAAATGGTTTTTAATACTTGACGTGCTGTTGGAGTTTTGAGCAAAGTAACATTTTGAAGGGATTCAGGGAAACCGGCAGGCCGGACTTGAGTCCTGGAGATGGGAAGTACAGTGCCTGCACTCTGAAGGAGGGGTGTTAATGTTGCAGTTTAAAAACTGTAGTGTAAAGCACCCTTCTGGCAAGACAGTGATGGAGTGAATGATGGTGAAAGTTTTTCTTTTTCGGGCCACCCTGCCTTGGTGGGAATCGGCCGGTGTGATAATAATAAAATAAAAAATTCAACATAGAAAATAAAAATGAAATTTTTGTACCTAGGTTAAGATAAGACTCTTGGGACCTCCTAGCATAGCTTGCCTTATTTAGATAATCATGTAGCAGTAGATGTAAAAAATTAAAGAAACCATCAGTGATCCACAGCTGAGGTTCTTCAGTGGAAGAAGGCCTTAGTTCTAAGCTGATATATACAGTATTACTCTTAACTTCTGTTTGTTTTTTCTCCTTGTGGGTCTGCTTGTACCACTGACCAGTATTTATTACAATTTTACAAACGGAATAAGTAAGTAAGTTCATTCAGGTATACACAAATACAGTTACATAGATTATCATATTTATTTATTTATTTATTTATTTATTTATTATAAATTTGTGCACACATACAGAGGTACAAAAAAAAATACAGATAAGAGCAGTATGCCAAAGCCACTTATACTATGCATAGCATTACGGGCTGGCTTAAAATTAACTTAAGATTAACTAAGCAATGATGAAGTCAGTGATAAAACATTAATGTAAACAGATTACTATAAAGCACAAGTGAGTATTACAAAGACAGGTCATATGAAGGATTCTGTTAGGTAGTGTATTTAAAAAATAATAAAGTTAGATTCGGTTTTAGGTTTAACATTTATGTGATATAATTGTGAGAAACATTTAAGATATACAATTTATAAGGTTCAGTTATTCAGTATTTATTTGGTTTTGGGTGAGTAAGTGATCTTGAGTAGAGACTTGAATTTATAACAGGTAGTGTTTCTTTTATATTTACAGGTAATGAATTCCAGATTTTAGGGCCTTTTATGTGCATTGAGTTTTTTGCATAGTGTGAGATGAACACGAGGAAAATCAAAGAGTGATCTGTGCCTTGTGTTATGGTCATGTGTTCTGTTGAGGTTGGCAAGGAGATGTTTGAGGGGAGGGTTAATATCAGAGTTAAGTGTTCTATGTATGTAATAGGTGCAGTAATAAGTATGGATGTTTTGTATGGTGAGTAGGTTTAGTGTATTGAATATTGGTGGAGTGTGCTGCCTGTAGTGAGAATTTTTTATCATTCTAACTGCAGCCTTTTGTTGGGTAATTAGTGGTTGAGATGGTTAATTGTTGTTGAGCCCCATGCACAAATTCCATAGGTGAGATAGGGGAAAAATAAGAGAGTGATATAGGGCCAGGAGGGCTGACTGTGGAACATAGTACCGTATCTTCGATAGTATGCCTACAGTCTTGGAAATTTTCTTAGAAATTTGTTGTATATGTGTATGAAATTTGAGTCTATTATCAAGGTGGATTCCTAAGAATTTTCCCTCTGTTAGCTTTGTGATAGGTGATCCGTTTATCATTATGTTAAGAGGGACATCTGTAGCTCTGTTACCAAACTGAATGAAGTAGGTTTTGTCAATGTTTAGTGTAAGTTTGTTAGTCCTCATCCAGGTAGATATTTTTTGTAATTCGGTATTTACAGTATTGGCTAGTGTGACGGGCTCGGGGTGAGAGAAGACGTATGTAGTGTCATCTGCAAATAGTGTGGGTTTGAGATAATTGCGAAGCATTTGGAAGGTCATTTATGTATAGGAGAAAAAGAAGAGGGCCAAGGACACTTCCCTGTGGGACACCAACTGTAATTGGTTGCGCAGAAGAGTTTGCCCCATTTGCATACACATATTGGGTTCTGTTGCTGAGGTATGACTTGAGGTAGTTGAGGGAGTGCCCTCTTATACCATAGTGTGACAATTTTACGTGGAGCAAGTCATGGTCAACTGTATCAAAAGCTTTACGTAAGTCAATGAAGATCCCCCGTGGGACTTCTTTTTTTCTTATTGCAGTGTATATATTGTTCTAGCATGTGTATAATTGCATCATTAGTATTTTTATTAGGCCTGAATCCAAATTGGCAGGGGTTGAGTATGTTTTGGGAGATAAGGTATGAGTAGATTCGTTTATGAATTAATTTTTCGAAGATTTTTGAGAGAGGGTGTAAGTTGGATATTGGCCTATAGTTATTCAACTCTGTTTGGTCTCCTCCTTTGTGGATCGGGGTGACCCTTGCTATTTTGAGTACTGTAGGGAAGGTGGAGGATTCAAGGGGATTTGTTTAAAGAGTGTTGCAATGATTGGAGATAGCACTTTTGAAACTTTTTTTGTATATAAAGGGGGTAAGGTACTTAAATCTCCTGCCTTGTTTTTTAGTGCATTGATAATAAGGGAGACTTCGTATGGGTTAGTCGGAGCTAGGAACAGTGTGTTTGGGTAGTTCCCGGTGAGGTAGTCATTGGTGGGGTATCTGAGCTTGGGATTTTATTGGCAAGGTTTTGTCCTATAGTGGAGAAGAAATCATTGAGTCTGTTTGCTGTTTCTGTTGGTGGGAGTTGGGGTTCATCTGATTTTGCTAATTTTATTTCGCTATTTCGTGATATCTTTTTTGTTCCCAGAATTTCTGATGGGGTTTTCCAGGTCTTTTTTATATCACCTCGTAAGTTGGATAATCTGTTCTCATAATACAATTTTTTTGCCCTTCTTATCAGGCTGGTTAGGATTGACGAGTAACGTTTTGTTTGGTCTCTGGTTATGTGACCCATTCGTA